ACCTCCCCCTTGTCTGCTTGTTGGATATCACAACACATCTGGTGAGCTTTATGTAAATTTGACAAAGCTGTGTCTTTGTGGAGTTGGAACATATTATATGCTCTGAGGCTTTGCTTCACATGTTTTGCTTGTGTGTGGTTTGGTAGGAGGGAAAAGAAATGGCTTCGCTAAGTGTAGGGTTTAAAAATACTTGTTGACTGCTAGCCGAGGGCTAAAGCATGAATACTGTGTAAATATTGACATGCTCAACATCATTGTGCTTAAATTACTGATTTCTCTTGGTGGCGCGATGTGAATTGTATATCTCCAGTGTCTGTATATGTTTGGAGAGGATGCAGTGTGATTCCAGTGGCACTGACCCATAAAAAAATGAAAGCATGTGGTGTGTTTCAGGGAAAGGTGCTTCTCTTTCTCTCTTTCCATCTTCTACTACACTTCTCTTACTTTTTTGCATATTACACAAGTTTCTCCCTCTTAAACTAGGACATCTCCCCTGTGTGTCCCCCCCCCCACCCACCTTACCACTAGACTTTTCTCCCCTTCCTGTCCCCTCCCTTTGCTTCATTCTACACAAGTTTCCCCCTCTTAAACTAGGCCATCCCCCCTGTGTGGCCCCCCCCCCCACCCACCTTACCACTAGACTTTTCTCCCCTTCCTGTCCCCTCCCTTTGCTTCATTCTTAGTGCGTGCACTGAGAGGGAGAAAGAATGCTAAGCTTGCGCAAATCTCAGTCATTATTAGTTTTACAGGAACAGGGCTCATGTCGGTGGGAGGCCCTGGCTTCACTTACACAAAAGACAGAGTGAAGAGAAAGAATACAATAAAAAAAAAGACAAAGAGCAAAAGGGGGGCATAAAACGAAGAAGAGGAAGACGGCAGGGGAAAAAAATATATGAATGAATGTGTAAGAAATGTGCTAGCATCGTTATTTTGATGCAAAGGTGCATTAAACTATTTTGGTAATGTCCATCTGCTAAGCTTCGTCCCCTTTCGTTGCTGGTGCTACACTATTTATAAGGCAGTCTAGGATGCTACTTTATCACAGTGAATAGGGGAATGTAACCGACCTTAGTCCTCATCCTGAAAGCCTTTGTCTAAGTATTTGAACTATAAACATCCATGTAACTTAGAATGAAATACACATTTAATTAGCTAGCTAGCTACAGCACAGCTGATAAAATCTTCAAGGAAAATCAACTAGACACTACTGTTTCTGTCAAAAATTGCTGATAATTTCAAGAGATGAATCTGCCACTGTTCATGAAAACTGCAGTGGAATCGAACAACTCTAAAACGCCTATTAAAATGTATAAAAACAGAAAATACCTTGAACTGAATACAGCATTTTGTCATTTACCTAATTGTTCACTGTAATTTTGTATTTCTGAACATATATCGTATAGTTTAATATGTTGAGATACTCTTCTGCAGAGCATTGAACGGAGTTTGAGAGCAGAACATTTACTGTAATAATCAGCACAGTGTCTTATCTCATCATAGTTTTCTAAGCCTGTGCCACAGTTTCCAGCAGTAGATAGTGTGCTAATATTCCCAGACATGTTCTCACATACCTGATCTGTATCTCTTCTCCTTTCTAGAACTGGAATGTACAGTATACATTAATATTAAGTAAAGCAAACATCTGTATTCATGATCAAGACAAGGGGTAAAACATTCACACATTCCAGCCTGTTGATGCAAGAACTTAAGTGCATCAAGTGTATACAAACTGAGCTTTAACCTCATACATACAAAAGGATACACACAATCACTCCCTCCAAACTATAAAAATGTGAATCCTGAAAGTTACATAAGGCAGAAATTAGTGAAAGATATGATCTCTTTGTCAATGGACGATCAGTTTGTTCGGAAACAGACTCCCCAGACAAAAGACAGGGATTCCTTTCATCTGAGAGGTGTTCTCCAGAGGCAAGAATGAGATGCACTGTAGCTGTTTCTGCAGGTTGGACTGTCTGTAAGTCTCAGGGGGCTTCATATCACATGCTTATACTTTATTGTGATGGCCAAGATTAATTCCAGTCTGATTCATAGTGCAGTGGTTTGTAGCTGTCCAGAGATCACACAGTGGTCATGACAGGTCTTCTGACCACACATCACAATGTTAGGATTTTATAAAAGTCAAAAAGGAATTTGGGTGGCATATGTTCATAATGAAGTCCATACAATAAGTGCATGTGGACACAATATGCATACTTTGCACACAAATTGTTGCTTCTGTAATTCACCATAAATGGGCATTTTGTACAGGACATTAACAGTGAATAGTTGATCACGAATGTGTTTAAACTTTCAAAAATGCTTTATGAAAACATATTTACCTGTTGAACTTGTGCCATTGAATAAATTTTTGCCAGAGGCATATAAAGAATTTTGTCACATGAGAAGTTTGCTTTAGGTTAGCAACAAACAAGACTAAGAGCCCACATGCTCTCGGCTCTGTAAAGCTGTACTTTGAGCTAAATACTAACATCTGGTTCCTAACACGCTAACTATCACCATGCTGTGTTTTTGCCGACATACTGTTTTATGTTCACCATCTTAGTTCAGCAAGAAACATGCTAACTAGCCCTTTCATGCAGAGTGGTCACCAGTGAGCAGCTGTTTAAACACTTGAACAGGTCATTTTTATCATTTTACTGTCACTTTTATTTTTATTAGCATGTCACTTTGTGGGGCTACTCTTGTGTTAATGTGCTGGAGCCTGAAGCAGACACCTGTCAAAGCCATTCATTCCAAGTCAAGGCTGTCAGCTGGGGTCAGAGGTCAGCCTGAGGGTCAAGGTGTGACTGGTTGGTATGAACTAAGCTTCTGGATTTGGAAATAGGTTAAAGCTGCACTTACAGGCTATAACCTCTCAGCACGAAAGCAGCACAGTAATACACTTAAAATAGTCAGTATACCTATAATACAACCTTTAATTATGCTGGTAGAATTTATTTAATTCTACCACATCTGTATGTGTTATAATGTGGCTTCCTCCTACACTTTTGTGCCAAATGAGCTATCATCCGTTTGAGTTTATGACCTTGCTAACTTTTACTTTGCCAAGACTTTATAACATTTTGACTCATGTATTTCATTCAAAACAAATGCTCTCCTCATTTTTTATAGCCATAAAAGTCTACTTTGCTCTGTTTTACTGTCTCATGTTTGAAAAGGTCATTGAGCAGTCAGCTGCATCTTGGACTGTGGCTTGAATGTGTGTCTGAATGAACAGAACCTCAAGCAGCTGAAGAGGACAGATAAGTCTCGGACTTATTGACAGTTTAGCTCAGTGATGATATGTGTGTTTGTTTTTGTTTATATAGTTTGAATTTAGGTTTGAATGATGAAATAAAACACACATGGATGCACCCAATGAGCAAGACTGCACTGTAGATTTATTTGTCTATAAAAAGATAAGGAGACTGGGACGGGGGCCATCCTCTCCATTTTACTCGACTAGATTTTACTAGACTCAAGTAGATATGTCTGCAAAGAACATGAAAGTTTTCTACACTGGGAACATAATCTGATTATGAACCTCTGCATCTATACTGTACTAAAACATATACTGATGTCTGAAATACAGTATGATTTATTGATGTTTCTGTGTGCCTTTAAATGCATGCCTTTTTACATGCATGTGAGCTATGGCAACACAATGGTCTTGATGAGTTAAAGTGGGACAACTGTTTTGAGATGTGGGCTCGCACTGGCTGGTGGAAAACTAGCAGAAGATGAGGAAGATCAAAAGGGAAAAAATAAACACGAAGCTGGAGACAGAAAATGCAGATAAAAGGAGAAAAAGGGTGTGTGATTGATCACCGACAGAGAGGGATTCACGTATAGAGTCATCTAGCTCTTTTCACAACTTTATTCTAACTTTAAAAATCAGAAAATCTGTGTGTTTATATGCAGAAATAATGCATATATATAGTCAAACTCTTAAACTTAAATGACTGTTGAAATTGGACAGGAAGTATTTTAAAACAAAAGCACATACAACATTCATCTCTGCACATGCCATTTTTTACTGGCAGGGTTTTTGGAGGCTGCATTTGTGGACTATTTAAACATGAACACAGTGAGAAAGGTTTTGAATTATATTCTGGAACACGCCCTACAAAACAAAACAAAACAACCCAAAAAAATCAGTTTATCACTTCCAAATTTTCAGCACAGTGACAGACTATATACACATTTAAAGTCAGAGAGTGTAAATCTAGAACTCATGTGTGGGTCTGTTCATGCTAATCCCTGTGTAGCTGGACTAATCACTTCTCATTATAGGCATGTTTTTCTGTTCTTTTCTAATCAGCGAAGAAGTTAGAATCACGCCTGATCTCAAGTGCTTCCCCGTCATAACTATTTCATTCCTGTATCATTATCCTTTATCCTCTAATGGTCCTAACAAAGTCAGACGGTACACAGTTCTGAGGGGTTCCCCAGTACCTAGTAATTACTTCCTTTCTGTCACTTACAGTATGTCTCGTTCTTCATTTTTTCAGCTCATTTCATTTTTCTTTTTGCCCTTTTTCTACTTGCACTTCCCTTTTGTGCTTCTCCTCAGTTTTAAGTGTCCTTCTTTGCCTTGCCCTCTCACAATTTCCTCCCACTTTGAACTCAGGTAGATGTGCAGCATTCCTCAGCATAGCCCCTGGGAACAAAGTTGGCTGAAAATAAAAGAAGACAAGGAGGGAAAATTATTTCAGCTCTTTCTATAGTGACCCTGAGCTGAGGGGTTCCACTGAAGAGCCAAAGTGCCCAGGAGGTCCTTTAGCTCTGTCCAACATCAAGACCTAGGGCTATGATGTGAACTAAGAATGTCTGTTTGAGACAAACTACATAATGCAGCTTCAAGTCCAAAGCTACCAATAGTTAACTGAGTAAATTTGGCAATTCAGTAGA